CTCCGGTCGGTGCTCCGGTCGGTGCTCCGGTCGGTGCTCCTCACCGCTGGATGCTGTCGCGCTCCGTTTACTCAAAGATAAACGGACTTTCTGGACAGACGCAGTTACAGACGCACCGCTGCAGCCGTGAGAGGCATCGGCTTCTGGGAAGAGGAAAAACACTTGCTTGAGCAGAGTGAAAACGGAAGTGCATGTTTCCTGAGACACCGCCACAGAGATGAGTGTGTGTGAGTGTGTGTGTGTGTGTGTCTCATATTGTTGGTTAAAGTTAAGCAGAGCGTGTGTGTGTGGGAGTGAGGTGGGTGGGGGGGAGTGAGGGGAGATATTTCTTCGATAGAGATATAATAAATGGCCACCAGGTGGCAGCATGTGGCAACGCAAAACATTGGTTTAAATCACGACTGAAAAAGCAGAAGTTTCTAGACCACAAACACCAGTCCGTGGGCCTCATCCTGTGGGCTGGACTGTATTTGTTATGAATTTGATTTCGTGTCCAGCCCACATGGCTTCACCTGAGTTCCAGGGGGTCCTCAACCCCTGGTTCTGGGGACCGGTACCAGTCTCCGGGACACCAGTCCAGTCATGTCCCTTCACTGTTTTCATTCAAAGATCATCTGTCAATGTTTCAGAACAACAGGTCAAAGGTCAGTCAGACTCTGATATTAACAGAAGAAAAGTCTAAAAGATGGTTTTAGTTTGAAAATGTAACGATCCTTCAGCGATGGTGCGGTATCACTGGTCTGCAGTAACGACTGGTACAGTCGGTTTTGGACCGACATGGGTCCAACAACCAGTGCTGTCCTGACAACTGGTCCTTTAAAATGTAGTGACGGAAATTAGAAGCAACACTTTAACGTCCTCTCTCAGCTTTTATATTCATGTCTCGGTCGTTTACGTCATCAGTAGTTGTCCTTATTTGGTAATAAAAGAGTGCTTTACTATTTACTTACATGTAATAAAAAAATGTGAAGTATTTTCAAAACAGTTTGAATGTAATTTAAAGCTCTCTTCTGTACAGTGACATCCAGTGTGTTGACTTAATACATACACAAATATGTGATCCATAAAAAAGACACGAGGCGCGTGCGTGTATGTGCGTGTGCGTGTATGTGTGTGTGTGTGTTGTGGGCGGGTCAGTCCATGTTGAGGAGGTTTTATAGGCTGTTGTTCAACGAGGACTTGTTGCTCCAGTAAAACCGCGGCCGTGAAGCTGAACGCGGAACACAGCGTGGATCCCGCTCTCGCTGACGGATCACTGATGGATCTGAACGAGAACCAGTCTGGAGACGAGTCCTGCGAGGGGAACCCCGAGGACCTGGACAGTGTCAAAGCCCTGACAGAGAAGCTGAAGCTCCAGACCCGCCGGCCGTCCTACCTGGAGTGGCAGGAGCGGCTGCAGACTGGACCCTGGAAGCAGACTTTCCCCTCAGGCAGCCCGGCTTATTCAGACGGACGCACCGTGTCCACGTCCACGTCCACGTCCACGTCCATGCCCGCGTCCATACATGTGGCTCTGCGCACCGACCCCGCCGGCCGTGCGCAACATCTGTGGATTTGATACCATCGACGATGCTCTGGAGTTCCTGAGAAACGAGCTGGTGAGCGACGGGTTATTTGTTTGACTGTAGAACTGGTGTAAAAGGACAAAGTTGAAAGAGTTAAAATGTCAGACAGAAGAGTCAGTTGAAGAAACTGTTGTAAAGCTGAGGCTGAATTCACCGCAGAACCAGGGATGTGATTCATGGAACACTTTCAATTCTGACTAAGTGTGAGCTGCGGTATTCTTCAGAGAACTGTTGACAGGCACATGGTCCTGACCAGGACCAGGACCCCCAACTCTGCTGTCTGAAATACAGCCCCAAACTATGATGTAGCCTCTGTTTTCATATACAGTGCAACCTCGAGATACGAGCGTAAATCCGTATCTCGAGGTTCCTCTGTACTGATATTCTCCCTGTAGTACTTCTGTCTGCAGACAGTTGAAAATCCAAATTCCTTAAAATAAAAAAAAAGCACTTTTTACTCGTTTTTAAATCTAGTCTAGTTTTTTTTTATCTAGTCAAAACATCATTTTGATTTAACCTGATATTTGTCTCAATTTAAAAAAGATGTATTTTTTCCTCACTACTTTCACATTATGCTGAAATACTTCAAGTTCTTGACCTATAGCCCTGTTGGAAGTACTCTGTTAGTACAAAGGTGTGAATAAATCCTGACTGATCCTGGACCTGGGCACACGTTCAACTTTCAGTTTGTTTTTTTTCTTTCCCACTAATCAGAGTAGGCACTTTGGTTTGGTCAGGTTTGTTCAAATTTAAATAAAAAAAGATCTTTATTGTTTGAACAGCAGTAAAAAAACAAACAAAACAAAAGTCAGGACGTGCAGAAGGAAATGGAACGAGGAAGAACTGAACGGAACTCTGTTACCAGGTTAATTACTACTTTCTCAGTACAGGAGTGTACTTTCCTGTGTACTAAACAGTACTACGTTTAAGACTTTAAGACAACGTCGTACTGTCCCACGAGGTTACGTTAGAAAATAAATACCAGCTCCAGGAACTGTATGGTCACGCTGCTAATCAACCTAACAGGGCACATGTGTCAAACTCAAGGCCCGCAAGCCAGATTTGGCCCCCCACATCATACTATGTGGCCCACCAGAAACACGTGCAGGTTTTCTTAAAACAAAAGTCTGTAAAGTTCTAATGCTAATGTTTACAGGTGAGTATTTTACAATTTTAATATTTTAAAATTTAATCTCTAATCAATCGCAGAATTCCCACAAACTACATTTCCCACAATGCATATCCATTTTGTGACCGTCCTAAAGGCGTCACAGTGAATGGAAGTATCAACAGTTAATCCCATAATGTTCAAGGAGAGAAAAACTGGCACAGGAAAAAAAAAAGTGGAAAAAACAAATATATGTTTATGTTTTTTTTGTTTTTGTTTTTGTTTTTTCCTCCGCTGTTTTCCTGCAAATACATACAAGTCTATTAGAATATTAGAATATTAGAAAATATTCATATTTAATGAAATATAATTTGACCAAACATTAGTGCTTTTTTTTTTACTTTCAAAATTCATCAAGTGGGCTGGTTTTGGCCCATGGGCCTTATGTTTGGCACCCCTGGCTTAGACTGTGATTTAAATTTCCGTCCATTGAAGTGATTGGGTTTGACAGTCCTGCTGTCAAACCCAGATATATAATATCACCTGTTATGGAGTTATATATTTATGACATCAGATGGGAGTTTCAAAATAAAAGTACGCCGTCTTCAGACTTCTTCTCTGTGGTTTCTCACCAACTCTCACCATCTGCCTCCTCAGAGGGAAATGAAAATACAGGACAACCGTCTGGCCCGTCAGCTGATCCGTTTGCGTGTGGAGATCCATCGTCTGAAAGTGGAGCAGGTGTGCGACCGCCACAAAGAGATGCTGGACGACGCGTCCTACGAGCTGGAGGAGTGTGAGGAGGAGTCCGACCTGC